CATATACTCGCGAACGCAGATGTAGCCGCGAAATTATGTGAGGAAAAGAAAGCGAGCGAAGCATGCCTACTTACTCATCGAGAGTTGTGTCCGGTGGCCGCCTCACGTGATTCGCGCAACCAAGTACTACCCAAGAGCCCACCATCGTCGTCTCGAAAAGTGATCACAGACGTGTTCAGAACCATCTTGTTCAATAAGAGGTAAGAGGCACCACATGAAACATTATTAGCACAAAAACAACGCGAAAGCCACGTACGCTACAATGCGCCCATTCGCTTTCTGCCCTGAGCAATATGGCGGCTCGTCGGGTACAGCCACGGAGCCCCTCCGCCGCTCCAGAAGCTTTAGTGTATTTCCTTAACTTCGTCACGCCACAGAACACCTACCAGTTATAAAGGAGGCGCTGGCTGCGTTAATGCGGAGGCATGTAGAAAGGACATGCAGGCCGCAGCTGCGCTACAATGGCTAGCATAGAGGAAGGGAAAAAAAAACTAGGCGGCTATACAGTGGCTAGAATATTCTAGCCAGTGTAGCTGCGCTCTCTCCGGTGAGCACGCAAGCGGCGGGCCGCCGCTACACCGCTGCTGTAGCGGCCCCGCATACACTTTGCGCCGTGGGGTCTAGTCACAGAACACCAGATCTAGTTAGATTGGTGACCGCCAGATAGCCGCGACTGCACAAAGCATGACAATAGTTATAGCGCGAGAACAAAACGACGACACAGAGACAAGAAGGACACGAAAGACACGAGCGCTGTGTCGTCGTTTTGTTCTCGCGCTATAACTATCGTCATGCCATACCAACTAGCCCAAGCTGCCACACTTCTAATGCACACAGCAGCCGCGTTTGGCACGTTTCGCTTCGCTGGGAGCTCACTCGGGAGTCGGTAACACCAACCCGCAGTACGAACACCTCAGGAGCCAAGGCAGCAACGTAGCAGGCCGCGAAGACATTCCGGTGAGAGCCTGGGGGACCAAAGCGAAAAAGGCTCGCCTTCAAGACCAACGCTACTACACGTTGCTCTAGCAACCCGGCGCTGCGGGAAAGCGAAGCCGAAGCGAAGCGGGTGCGCCCTCAAGCAACCACGTCACGTCCTTATGTGGTGGTAGAGGAACGTGTACGTGGGATTCGCGGGTTATCCGATCATCTTCGAGCAAGCTCCTCTAACATCGTTCACATTGTTGATGTGGCGGGGATAGTTTTAAACAAAAAGTGGCTTTTTGATCCACATGAATTCTGCCGGCGCAGATTGTACTCGTAGGAAGGGCAATCCGCGTCTCCAGGTTCGTTTTACGGATAGTGAGTTATACCGGTAAAAATTTTCGAATATGACACTCGAAATATTCATCTCAAGGAGGGACACATTCCAGCGGCGTACCCCCCTCCCCCCCCCCCTAGACTAAACATAACGGGGATCGTAACTACCCGGACCCCCCTTCCTCTTTTAAGGCGAGAAAGAGGTAACTCTCATATTTACCTTCAAAGTGGTTTAGGGGCCATTTGTGTTTTAAAGGGCGAACACAAAGGTTTATGGTTGCTGTATTCCTCAGTGCAGCAGATGTTTTACTGGTTGGAGTGTCTAATCATGGAGTAATAGCGCGCAAAACACGCAGCGAAACAGTTTTTATTAGAATTTTCTTAATCTGCAGCACCTATGCAATCGTAGGCCCCGTGTAACAGCGCTGTAAACGGTGGTGGGAGAGAGGGCTACAGCAGATTGTGTTGGTGGGCTGCGGTTCACTGCTAAACAGCAGCCTTACGCACAAACACGTCACGCCGTGAACATGCCGTAGACGTGCAGGCTCGCCGTCGGGCAGCTGACGGGGTCCAGGGGTGCGAGCTTGGGACACCGCTCTCCCAGGGGCCTTCCGGGCACGTACTCGTAATGGTAGTTGTCCGTGCCCCCCATGCGCACGGGTAGCTTGTCGCGGTCCACGTAGTGACTGATGTCGCTGGCCGTGACGAAGCGTACCCTCTCCAGGGCTTCGACGGGCATCAGGCCCTTGCAGAGCCTCCAGATGCCCTGGAGCAAGCGCGGGGGCTGCCATAGCAGAACGAAGCCCAGCGAGCGGGGGTAGTAGCAGCGGAATAGGGCCATCAGGTACCGACCCAGGTCCAGCTGCAGTTGCACACAAAAAGAACCTCAATTTATTCTGTGTTTAACCATGTTGAGTAAGTTCAGCTCCGTACAACGAGGACAGAGGTAAAGACGGGGCACGAACACCAGTGCTGTTCTCACAGCTAACTTCACAAGCGCAGATACACGCGTTTTTTTGAACGTGGCCTTAAACCACGTGAACACACGCCGGTGACGTCAAACAGGTGATAAATACAAAGAATTAAAGGTGGACAAACTAAGGAGCAACTACATTATGTGCTAATAAAGTTAGTTGGGAGGACAGCGCTGGCGTGTTCCTTCTTCACCCATGTTGTTGTATCGCGCTTAAACCACTCCACACGTTCAACAGCATCCAGCTCTTAGTATTTTATGGCACCATATGCTGATTACAGCATCTCATCTAGCGCAGAGTGCATGCAGTGCCATTGTGGGCATACGTAGTCATGGCCTTACTGATCGACGGAGTCTCTACAAAGGAATATGTGATAAGTGACGGTTACCTAATGAATATTAACTATATAGATGGTTAATTAGTGTTGATATACAGTGAATTCAAATGAGTTATATTATCAATTTACAATTTTAGTTTGTGAAAGTTTAATGAATGTGTATATAGGCGTGCAGGGTAAGAGTCCGCTCAAATGAACTCCTTCCGTCAATGGTGGGCCTTTCAAAGGGTGTATCCCCGTCGGGATGTTACGTTCCGTGTGCGCAAGGCGAAGGCGCGATAACGCTTTTGGATTCGATTGCACAAGATACCGTGCGAGTTCTTTTTCTTGCTAGCGTTTCCATTTATACCGAAATCGATTTTTGTCGGTTCGAGGCAGAACATCTGGTACCTAACCTGGTGGCGGTCGCCGCCGACGCAGTCCACGAGCAGTGTTATGCGCGAGGCGTTCTGTCGCCGCAGCAGAGTCTCCACGAAGAAGACGACCACGCGACGGACGTCGGCCATAGGAAGGCTGCGAATGTTGGCGGGTCGCAGCAGGAGCACGTGGTTCCCGTAACGGTCCACGTTGAACGGGTACACAAAGCCGGCCTGCAGACAACTCCTGGGCAGGCTCGACTCGGTCAGCTCGTGCAGTCGCACCTGTATATGTGTAGTTGAAACGATACGGCATGAGCCAAGGTTGCAAGGAAAAAAAAACATTTATTGCTACAGCAGTTACATGAAAACTCGAGGCGTATTTCTGCCATCGCCGTCATGTTCTGTATAAACTCCAAATTCATAACATCGCCCCGCGTTCTATGTGTGACTGCAAGTGTGCGATTACAGCCGTTGTTCGCGGCTCAATCAGGTAACAGACGCACCACCCGTGTGCATGGCTTGAATGCCGGAGAAAGGCGGAGCGGGAGGGGGGCTGTGCCACTACGTTAGATGCTGCAATTTGTGATCCAGCGGACATGGTCGCACGCGCACTATCTAATCGGAGATAATAAAACTGTTCATGCATTAGTTCGCGTTGTACAATCACCTATTACTTGTCAGAACAATAGACAGCACGAACGTTGCTTCGTTCATTATTTGTAGCATCTTGTAGTTACGCCGTATTGAATTCCGAAAGAGTTAGCTGCTAGTCTTACTTTGCCTACCATTTGAAATCTGGGATTCGTAACATTTTGTAGATGAGACATTGATGAACAGGGGATGCTGCTAGCCGAAGCCGAAGTGTCGACAAGTAGACTTGTCTTTCAAGGCTGTCGTAGGCTTTGAAGAGGCAAGCTCACTTGTCGAACGCCAGATCCAGCACATACACCCCTGCTTACCAATTTCTCACCGTAAGCTTCCATCTTTCCCTTCTTCTCTTTCTTTTAACATTTTGTAGAGTTACAACAACGTGGACCGTGAAGGAGGAAGCTGCTATCGCATTACATCGCGTATATTACCAATTTGATGCTGTCGTACTCGGCGTTTCGTTCTTGCGGGAAGACTGTCACTGTATGTGCAGGTCCCTTTTTATGGGCCCTGGTCGCACGTCTTAGCTTGTTGGCGTAACGCAGGCAAGATACACACCAGTAAATCACTGTATAACCTTGTATGCTATATCAGGCTGTTGGGAAAGGGAACTTAGTGTGAGAAGGGAAATGAGGAGGTTGAAAGGGTACAGCAACGTATCCGTGTATACACTACAGCAAGGACTTAGAAAGATATGTGTTTAGATGAAGGAAGGGAGAAGACAAAGCACTACATAGCCGTGTGTAGTATAATATAGCATGGGAGTGGGAAAAGAAAGGGGTGACGTGAGTGTGAGAAGAAGAGAAAAGGGGGAGAAGACAGGGCGTTATTGCACCACCAACGGGGCCCTTTAGAGCCATGCATGCCGAGTAGGTTTTACGTTTCGAACGCCAGCGCGCTTTTCCGTGAATTTGAGCACCACCGAAGGGCAGGCGAATCTCTGCTCCGCGCTTCTTACGGCTTTCACGTTGAGTGCAACTGCACGGACTTTTGACTTTAAAACCCCGATAAATTCGAAATCAACCCGGACGCTTCCTCGTGGGTGACGGGGGCTGAGGCACACAGTGTTCATATGGCCACTACTGCACTAAAGCGAGCTGGGCAGACTTCTGCCGTATACGATTACGTCTGAAGCAGCCGCACCTTTGCTCGCCACTTGAGCGCCGCGTCGGCCATGCGCACGGCCCGCTCCAGGTCCAGGCGGTTGTGGACGATGAACCGCCAGCAGTACTCGTCGCTGTCCAGGATGCGTCGCCGGTCGCTCGAGTGGTAGGCGGCCGTCTCTCTGCCGCGATGCTCGTCGAGCAGGCGCGCACGGAACGCCTTCATGTGCTCGCTGGTGATGAAGTAGCGGCTCTCGCCGAAAACGTCCGGGTATGGCGGCGTAGCCATGGTGCAACCGACCCTCGCCTGCAGCCGCACCACGTTTCCTCTTCTTCTGCTTCTAACCTTGTTGCCGCGTTCCTTTGCGAACGGCACGTGCCAGCTAGGAGGTTGCAGATCGGGCTATGCGTTGGAATGTGCTTTGAAATCACCTTTAGTGGGTGGAAACTCGAGGATATTCATCTGTTTTTCTTTAACAGGAGAGCTATGTAAGAATGCTCACCAGAAAACTATCATCGTAAGTGGCCTGTACCATTTAAAGCACGTAAGTGACAAGCAGAGCACAGCTATGCATGGTATAATAAACAAAATGGTGGAAAAGGGAGGTGATGATGAAGAGGAGCAATGTGAAAATGAGGAAGTAAATGAGGTGGGGAGAGGGTAATGGAGGGCACAGCGTTGTATAACTATGGTTTTTGCGTCACACACAGTGGGAACGTGCCACGACGTAATGCAACACAAGTCACTTGACGTAAAAATTGCTGAACACTGCTCAAGTGACGTAAAATCATGTAACACCAGTCGCGTAACATGTTGGCCTCAACACCACAGTTGCGTTATTGACATATAATAGTGAAGTTTTAAGTTTTAAAGGTTCCCCAAACCTGTGACTGTAATGAATTACCATATAATGATTAGACTTTCACTGAGGGCATTTCACTATTGGTTCATATTAGGTATTGCTTCAACATCAACTTGCACTGCACCAGTCCCCACCTCCTGGGGATTGATGTCATTGATGAAAACCTTTGCGTGCCAAATCGAAATAGCCGACAATGCCGTTCAGTGATAAGTGCGACAGTGATTAAACCACTGAAAACAACCTTTGTCATTACGTGCCTTCGCTACAGCTCCCGGAGACAGTTCCTCTCGGCAACGTTATCACGCCTCGACGACAAGTATGTGGGGGCGATCAGTCTTAGAACTCTGAAACATTTCAGCGTCCAAGCAGAAGTTGGCGATGGCGCTGCTTAGTTCCTGCGATCAAACGGCTACGTTGAACGGCTATGACACTCCCATGCTTAAGTGAGTGTGTGCTAGTTCTTTTTCTTAAATATTATCATTATTTATTCCTTAAATTACTGTGTCCGCTTACCCTTTCCAGGAGAACCATAGCATATTGGACATTGATCTTCCAGCCAATCCACCGGTGTCCCACGTAACCTTTATCTTTGTCTCACTTTGCAACTACCGGCGAAATGTCTCTCCAACTCACATTTTTTTTCGGGCATCATCTTCATCAGCCCGACTACGCCCACTGCAGGACAAAGGCCTCTCCCATGTACTGTTAGTCAACTCAAACCGTGCTTGCTGCTGCCAGTTTATACCCTCAAGCATCCTAATCTCATCTGCCCACCTAACTTTCTTGGGCCTCTAACCAGCTTGCCTTCTCTTAAAGTCCAATCTGTGATCCTTAATGACCAGCGGTTATCTTACCTTCGCGCTACGTGCCCTGCCCATGACGATTTCTTCTTGATTTTGACTATGATATGCTCAACTCCGGCTTTTTCTCTAGTCCACTGCTTTCTTTTTGTTTTTTAAGGTGATTGGCGTGTGCATGGGGGGGGGGGGGGGGCAGCCGCCTTTCAGGTCGCCTAAAATAGGGGGCGCAAATCCAGGGAGGGGGCACTGACTCGAGCCCCATATACTGACTTCGCCACCTCCTGAAGGCAAACCCTGCACACGCCTATGCTTAAGGTTACGCCTATCATTTTCCTTTCCACTGCTCGATGCATCGTCCTCAACTTAAGTTTAACACTTCTTGTAATCCTCTAGGTGTCTGCTGCTTATGTAACTGCCATTCACGATTTGAGAATATATATGAATCTCTAAACGCGTTAACGATGTGGGTGAGCAAAACCGAAACCAGCCACAAGCTACTATTTGCGGAGGAACACGAATAGGCGGAAGCCCCGCCTCCAAGATAAGTTCTCAATAAATGTCGTTTGCCAACAGCAAGCGCTACTGCTTAACTTCATTTACTTCTTCATTTCTCTTTTCGCTTCCTTCTCTCTAACAAGTGAACCCTTCTTAGCTGGTAATGAAGGTTGGCGTTTTGTCGTAATTATTTATTACGCGGAACTGTCTTTGGAAGCATCCGGGTTAGGCCGTCGAGGCAACGAACTTTCATACACTGACACTGAGGCAATGAAGACAGTCGTCAGTTGTTTTACCTTGTGTTGGAACGAGATGTTGATGTAGCAGGCTGGCAGCTCGCGTCACCGGTATGAACAGGCAGATATTAGCACTTTCTCGAGGCGCATCGACTGCTCACGTACACACTAGCATCCATAACATAAATACATGCTTATATATATATAACCGTGTGATTTAGTAGCCCCCGTACCTCCGTTCCGGGAGCGTCAGCTTTTGCGGGCTCCTGGCACCGACCGGTCTGACGATCCCTGACTAGACGACTCCTCTGCCGATTCCTCCTCGGCCGAATCTTCTCCGGCTGAATCGGCGACGCTGAGCAGCTGCAGGTCTCCCGGAAACTTCCACCTTGGTGGCGCTGGAAGTGACGGGGACTCGCTCGTTACGTCACCAACTTGAGCCGGAACCTCAACGGTACGCACCTGCATGGACGCATTGCTTTCTTTGTTGGTTTATTTTGGACCACACCGAAATATTGTTTGGGCACAATGGTGCCAAGAGAAGTATACTATAAGTATTCATATACTTCTCTAGGTATCATTGTATATTAGGCATCATGAACATTACATCTGCACTGGAGGTACCTCTGTAAAATGTACTGAAAAGTACAACGCAGCATTTGATCATTTCATGACTAAAAAGTGCAAACCAGCGTGGTTTTGCAATTGTCAGTGCTGGTAACGTCCTGCCTTTTGGCAAAGCTCGTGCTAACTACTACGCCATCCACGTCGGGTTTCACATTTCACGCACGTGTTTCAGACTCACTGATACCTTTGTACCTTTGTGTAGTTTTCCCCAAGGATCTTCTGTGTTTAGGGGGGGGGGGGAGCGACTAGTTGGTGAGGAATTATTATGCGAACTTAAACTGCGCTTGTGACGAGACACCAGAGATGAGAGTCGTGAGACTGGATGAGGCGCCAACCTACCTACCGTAGACGTGCGTACGAGACTTAAAAAGGGGTCGAGTGCAAAGTCTGCACCACAACTACCACAACCACCATCATCACGAGCCTGACTACGCCAACTGCAGGACAAAGGCCTCTTCCATGTGCCGCTAGTCAACTCGGTCCTGTGCTTGTCACTTTATACCCGCAAACTTTCTAATCACATCTGCCCACCTAACTTACTGTGTCCCCCTCAGCCGCTTGTCTTCTCATGGAATCCACTCGGTGGACCTGAATGACCAGTGGCTATGTTGCCTTCGCGCTACGTGCCCTGCTAATGGCCATTTGTTTTTCTTGATTTACACCTATCCTTTTTCTTTCCATTGCTCTGTGCGCCGCCCTCAACTTAAGTTCAACCATCTTTGCAATCCTCCAGGTTTCCGCACAGTATGTATGTATAGTAAGATGCAGCAGTTATATATCTTCCGCTTGAGGGATAGTGGTAATCTACCAGCCATGATTTTGAAAATGCTTGCCGAGTGTGCTCCACTCCATTTTTATTCATCTAATTATTTCAATCTCGTGGTCCGGCTCCGCGGTTACCAGGTGTCCTAAGTAGGCGTACTCTTTTACATCTTCAAGTGCACTGCTACCTATCTGAAAGCGCTGTTCTCTTCCGAGGTTGTTTTACATTACTTTCGTTTTCTGCTGATTAATTTTAAGAACTACCTACTATGCACTGACTTGAAAAAAAAAGGGGGGGGTGGAGGCGCTGCGGTGAACTTTCGGTTCTTCTGAAGGGCAACCCTGCGCACGCTTATGCTGTCTGCGTCCTATCTACTATCCTGGAGGCTAGTCTCAAACGCAGTTTAAGTGCACAATAAATCTTGTTTTCGCTTGAGCTTAGTGGTAAGCGACCTTGTCCAGCTCTGACCCGTGGCATGCAGCAACAGGCCCTGGTCGACCAAGCCCAGACGGTGGCAAGAGCCAATGGTCCTCCGGACGAGGCGGTCCACCCACCGGCGACGTTTGTTAGCAATAATTGTCGTATTTTCACTGTTTCTTTGAGCTTTATCATCTTCACTGCTCTCCCCCAATTCAGGATAGCAGACTGTTCACGAAAACCTGAAAGCGCCCGGCTTTTTATTTTTCCTCTCTCTTTCTCTATCGTGAAAAAACATCACGCTCTTTGCAACCTTGGTATATACAGATCAGCTGTCTGTAAAGTTAAGCGGGACTGAGAAATTCTGTGTACTCCACGTAAATGCGCTTAGCTATATAAAGATCTGCTCTGCTATCCAATCCAGTGCAGTCACGAGTAAAGGCTGGTGTATACTCTCTAAGCGCTAGGTAATCACTTGAGTAACGTAAAAAAAGTACTCTGTAGCTTGCTTACCCGCTGTACTACAAACGTTGCTACCGTGCGATCAGCTATCAGCTTAACGTGCTTTTTTTCGGCATTCGCCTCGCTTCTTGTTATTCTTACGGGTAATATCTCTTGAACATATACATCAAACATACTTATTTATGACCGGCTTTTACTTGGGCACGAGACTAGATTAGACAAACCTTCAGGCACGAATTCTGGCACAACTTTGCGATGATTGCAATAGAAGAGCATTTGGAGTGACGTGCGAATACGGCGATAAATGATAAGATACGAGATTATGTGTTTCTGAGAAGCCACCAAGAGCTCGGATTCTCACTCCACCACAGTGGTCTAGTGGCCAAGGTACTCTGCTGCTGACCAGCAGGTCGCGGGATCGCATCCCGGCTGTGGTGACTGCATTTTCGATAAAGGCGAAAATGCTGTAGGCCCATGTGCTCATATTTGGCTGCACGTTAAAGAACTCCAAATGGTCGAAATTCCCGAAGCCTTCCACTAAGACGTCTCTCGTAATAATACGGTGATTTTGGGACGTTAAATCCCACATATCAATCAATGAGAACTCAGATACCCGTAAATATACAAGAGGTGTTTCAGATGAAAAAGGTATGTAGCATCGTAATAAGATGATCGTTTACATATATGGCATGCCCCTTATGCATGGGAGGACTATAGCGAGACATCTAGAGATGTGATTGGACTATCCGCCGTGAAATGGAGTATGCGCGTGCGCCCGCATGCGTAAGAGAGAGTATAGGGCAATCTATAGAGAGCGAAGTTCAATTGACGCGGCAGGGCGTGTGAGAATAGGAAATCGTTCACATTGCAAAGTCAGACGATTAAGAAGTAGCGACACGTTATGCGATTTCTGACAGCGGAAGGCGTTGAACCGGCTACCATTCATAGGATTTTCACGCCTCTGGCTCCCTCAACAAACAAACAAACAAACAAACAAACAAACAAAGAAACAAACAAACAAACAAACAAACAAACAAACAAACAAACAAAGAAACAAACAAACAAACAAGCCAAAAGGGAACGGTTTCAGCTCGGACAACGAACTAAATGGAACTCTGGGAACAAGTTCTTCGGTTTGTTCATGATCGTTGTAGTCAGGCGCGCAGTGTAGGGATGGATGAATTGGATTGATATGGCTGTACCCTTTAGATCGGGCAGTGGCTAACACCAGCGAGCCGTAATACTTAGTCAACCAAAAACTAAATTTACTTTTTTTTTAAATAGTGAGGTTGAGGACTCGTACTTTGTAGTGAATGGTTTAATTTTCACTCATGCCCTGACTTTAGCCACCAATCAGATAACTTCCTTCTTGTTAATTCTACCCGCTTAAAGTCTATTTTGCCCTCCCTGTCCCCAAACCCCAGTGCTTTGAAAAACTCTGAGCCATCGTCCTGAACTATATGGTGAAGCCTTTTACAGAACATTATCAAGTGTTCGGCAGTTTCCTCTTCCTCTCCACACGCACTGCATACCGCGTCTAACCCTTCGTATTTGGCCCGATATGTCTTGGTTCACAATACTCCCGTCCTGGCCTCAAAGAGTAACGAACTACCCCGAGTATTATCATAGATCCTTTCTTTCGCAATTCCTTGGTTAAAGGTTCGATATATATCTAGTGCGGACCTATTAATCATGCCAATTCTCCACATATCGGTCTCAGCTTCCTTCACCTTCTTAACCGATAAGTCTTTTTGGTTTAGCCCCCTGCCGTTTTCTAGGTATTTACCAGACAATTTTCCGGTTCGCCTCCTCCATGATGCTCTGACGTATACTTTGAATAAAGGCTCCACCTACATCCACACTGTTATTTCGCACGGCGCTTCCATTTGAACGCCTTTTGAACGTACGTTTTCATCTATTCAACTACCGTAACCCCAATCCAACTCACCATGACGTTGGAAAGGTGTCTCTGCACGTCAGCTGCTTCCTTGGCATCGAAGAGCAAGTCCGAGTCGGCGTGCGTGTCCGCCAGCTCACGCAGGTCGGGAAGCCGCATGAGAACCTTGGCGAACTCGATGGGCGCCACCTTGCGCCACGTCACGTACCTGCGACAAACAATCAACTGTCAGTCTATAGACGATCACTCGAGCTTGTTCGAGAAGACCGGTGTAATTTCTATTCAACAGTAACGGGAAATTTGCATTGGTAAACTCTTCAGCCAATAATGATGACGAGTCCGGAAGCAATGCAGAGGGACCGATGAATGTCCATGCGGTCCGGCAGTGCAAAAAACCTTGCACACTTCTCCTTAGTTGGTCGTTAACCTTCCTAAACGTAACATTCGATTTTATATTCGCTATGGAATTTATTGCGTCGCCCCCGTGACAAGGCTGGCCTTTTTTTATATTCCGGTAATTTTGTAACAGCCTTCAAATTTTAATAGCAATTTACTTTTTCAGATCGAAGCTAGAGTAAGACCGTTGCAGCTTAAAGATGCTAAACACACTTGCCCTTTGCCAATTATATCTCAATCAGCTTTGAATAAAACACGTCATTTATGGCCTACAAGTCTCTGTGCGGAAAAGTGGTTGATATATTGCACTAAAAAACTAAGGATACATGCAGGAAAACGAGGAACATGGTGCAAAATGTAGGCGAGGCAAGCTACAGAAACGCTTTACATCGCGTCTTCTTTCTATTTTCTTACGAGTTTTTATTCTGCATTTGTAACTGTTCATCAGCACAATTGCTACCAGCCTACCCCTACTTTACAAGGAAAACCTTTTATTTTTCTAGCGCGGAGACTGCGCACTACAAAAAAAAAAACTTTTTTTTCTTGTGCAAGAAACGAGAGTGCGAGTGCACCGTCTATTCATCTGTTATGTAATGAATTTGAGTATCGCTTGAGTTCAAGCCATGCATTTCGACATGTTAGCAGTTTCGCACATTTGTATTCCCCTGCTCTTTTTGAACCCTAACTCCCACCATATTGCACACATATTCTCGGCATCGTCGAAATAAACGTGGTTGTAAGTGTTCGTTTCGTCCTATCTTGTCCTTTCTTCAAGCATTCTGCACACTCAAAGACTTTACCTGTTTACAGTGCTTAACTGTCCCGTCTAGAACGACAAAGCGTCGAGCTCGGAACACGAGAAAATTTTCGATTTGACGTTTCAAATCGAAAATTTTGGCCACGTACAGTGCAAATTGGCCACGTACAGTGCCAATTGGTATGAAGGGGAACACGGCGACACGTGGCCCGCGCACTCCGGCGGCTGCTGGCAGCGCGTTCAAGCGGGAGTGAGAGCAACCACAGTCTCCCTTCACGTGATCTCGCGGCGGGCAAAACAACCATTCGTTGCCAATATAGAACGGCAAGATTGCAACCCCTCCCCCTTGAAGGCAATCAGCAACGAATGGCTCTTTTGCTCGCCACGAGATGACGCGAAAGGAGACTGTGATTGTTCTCGCTTCCGCTTGAACGCGCTGCCAGCAGCCGCCGGAGCGCGAAGGCCACGCGTCGCCGTGTTCCCTTACATAAAAATTGACACTACATCTAAGCATGCGCAGCGTCAACGAAGTGCCTGCATGCCTTGCTGTTTCCATTCTTGTTTATCGCCGCGAACGCGACAACAGCTTTGGCCGTCAGAAGCGCTGCCAGCTGATTGTTGCCGAAATCACATTAAAAATCAATCAGGTTACAAGAAGGCACAAATCTGCTCTTAGGAAAGTGGTACCTCACACGGAGAATAAGAATACAGCACATCTTGTCATGGGCACGTCGGGTTTTTTTTCTTGTTTTTATCGTTTGTCTTTGCTTTTGCCCGACACCGTTGAGAGTTCTTTCCACGGCCAAAGTGGTTCTTGCACCCGCGGGGATAAACAAGGATTGATAATGCGACGGAGGAGCGTCATCGCTGCCACATATGCTCATATGCGGCTTGTTTACGACTGGAGATGTCGCTCGTGCAGTTCCTCCCGTGACACACCGTCGTTCTAGACATGAGAGTTGACCACTGTACCAGCTAGCTCAAACAGGCAGGCACCTTGTGGACGCATACACCTATAACGTCACCTGCGAAGTAGCGCGCAATAACGCTCCTGCTGAAGGGCAAGCGTCTCCAGGTCTCTGATTCCAGCCCTGTCCGGACACAAGAGCGCTATCGCCGACAGCAAGAGCAGGGTCAGAGGGTCGGGCTTGAGCCTCCGTGTGGACACCAGGAATTTCCGGTGCAGCGCCCACAGTTCAACCGGTACTAAGCGTTCCACGTCGGAAGCGCGCACACACGGCACCGAAGTTGCCTCATCACCGAAGTGAACCCTCGAGGGCCACCGGTCGTCCTCGTCGTCAAAGTTCATCGCACTGCGAAGGAAGCACAGTTCGAGCACGGCGGTTCTTAGGAGGATGTGTCTGTCCGACTCGCGAACCCTCGCGAATGCTTGCAGTCCCTGTGCAAATCCGCTTATCTGGTGCACCAGCGTGAAGAACACGTCCAGGAGTTCTGTCCTGGACTTCTCTTCACGTTGCAGGTGCGCCGCGAAAGGGGCACCGGCACAACCAGCCACGTAGGCGTGGACGAGTTCTTCCAGAAGACCGACGTCTTCGGCGGACGGGGGCGTCTCCGGAGGTCGTGGCGGCGGCGCTGGTCGGCCGCCACTGTCACCTTTCGCGATCAATCGCTGCTGCATTCGGGCCCTGCGCTCTTGCTCGGTCATTACCCAGCTGGCCTCCATGCCGATGGCGAGACACTTGGCGAAGCGACACGCCTGGCAGCTCTTGCGAGACGCGAGCGTGATGCGACAGTTGCCGCGGTTGGGGCACTGGAAGTGCGACTCGTTCTGCACCGAGCGTCGGAAGAAGGCCTTGCAGCTGTCGCAGGAGATGCCGCCGAAGTGGTAGCTCTTGGCTCGGTCGCCGCACACGCCGCATATCCGCGGCGGCCATGGCTTGTTGGTTCCCGACTCCGGATTTACCGAGCCAGCTGCTGCGGGGCTGGACTCTGCTGACGGCGAGGTAATCGTGCTATCGGTCCGAAGAGTGGTAGAGGTTGCTGTGGGGGTCGTCGTGTCGCAGTGCCTCTGGTTTTGACTGGGGCGTTGGCGTTGCTGCGGGTGGCTTTCCTGGGCGTCGCTCATATCTGCGCGTACATAGATTTTGTAGGAATCGTTTGAGTAAAGAGCTGGTTGAAACTACCGCATGAATGTATTAGGGATCGGATCGTTCACACCAGGGGCTATTATCGGTAGCGCAACCATTAGCGAATAACGACCACAATGCGCCTCTACACTGCGACTTCACCGCATCCAGAAACGCTCGTTGACTTACCGCCTTGAAGGCAGCGCGTTTGAAACGCGTTTGTGTTGCATTGAAGGCGATGGCAAAACAAGTTCAAGTTAAGGAGCATTTCTGAATACGGGGGTTGACTTAAACTTGGCTAGCTACCGCCTTCAATGCAGCGCAAACGCGTCTCGAACTATTAAACACAAACGCATTTCAAACGCGCTGCCTTGAAGGCGGTGGCAAGTTAAGTTCAAGGCAAATACCCACCGACCCGTTCATGTCTGGCCCCATTGTCGTGTTCCCGTGCAACTGATTAGTGCAAATAAAGTCGCCTAACGCGAAAATCGAATAGCCAGCGAGGGAGCCAAAGTAGTCGCTTTGCCACGAAAGCATCCCTTCGCGACAGCTGTGCGAATAACTCAGTTGCGCGACTGGTGCTAGTCGCAGGTTTGAATAAGCCTTTATATATAGATAGAAAATACCTTGGCCAACGCGCACGTAATACGGTAACACTTGAAACATTTGCAAGAACCTTTCTGGCATATATCCCCGGCTTGAGGACTATTATGCTGCAGCATTGCCATTTCCTCCGTTTCAGTTTTCTGTACATTCAAACATTTTTCATGTTTTTTTTGCTTTTGAGTAACCGTTTTTTTTTTTTCATTTTGCACTGCAGAGCGCACAGAAATGAATTAGAGCTTACAGAAATGGTTTAGCTGAATTGATATAAGTGCCAACCTTTCCATGGCAAGCCAGTTGGGACAGAACAGCGCCTATCAGGATACAAGGCGGCACATGTTTTTTGCATAGCGGATTCCTCAATTTTCTGCTTTGCATGAGAAACGGTTGATCAAAATAATGTTGACATCGCCTTTTCAACGACTTCTTTCATCAGTCGAATCCTTTTTCTTCTCAACTTTTACCGTTTTATTTCCTCTTCGTGATTCGAGAGACTTATGCGATAGTTATCCCGAACCAACGAGCTAAGATGACATTGCCGCTAATATAAGATGAAGTACCTAGGGAATGAGCTCGGGCTAAACTTATCCACATAAACTTACTTCGAGCCGCGGAGCGTAGCCCCCCTTCTTTTTTTTTTTTCTTCTTTTGGCGCCAGTATGCCCTGCGGCATGAGTTAAATAAAAAGAAAGAGTTCAGTTTTCTGCATAAAGGCCACGAGGGGTAATTTTAACTCGTATTGTGGTGATCGCGACTACAAGCGTACTCACTCGTCTGATTGTGGAGTATCAACAGTTGTGCTGTATCTCAACAAAGCAAGGGGCTTTACCTATTATTCTTATCACTTTTGTGTAATCTGCAACGTCGAGGCTTGGAATGCATTGATTGATTGAAATAACTTCACTGATTCTATTAAAGCTTTCAACATATGTCTCTTCAGAACCCTGATTGTTCAACTGCAGGTCACTTATTTATTTAGAATACGAACGTACATAATTCGTAGGCGATTCCACGTGAACGCATGTCACCTTGTGTGTGTGACGTAACGTTGCTACTCTTTTGCAACCCCGCCTTGCCCAGCAGAAAAACGCAGGGCGCAATGTTTTCTACGAAATGACAACGACGCGGACCCAGTTTTATTTTGTTGCATAGCCTGATAGTCGTCGTTGACATCGGGTCTTGCACGCACAATATTGAGCAGTGAGGAGATCGATGCGCGGTACGTCAGCTTCATCATACGCCGGTGGGTAGAAGTTGAAAAGGCGATGCTTCCGCACTCACACAGGAGCTTCAATCATTGCTGAACTCGGCACAGGTAAGTCTCGCCTCGGAGGTTGTGGAACTGGACTGCTAACCCGAAGGTCGCAGGATTGAATCCCGCCTGCGACGGCTACTTTTTCGATGGAGGCGAAAATGTGTGAGGCCCGTGTACTAAGATTTAGGTGCACGTTACAAAAAAAATAGGTGGTCGAAATTTCCGGAGAACTTCAGTACGGCATCTCTCATAATCATGTGGTGGTTCTGGGACGTTAAACCACAGCTATTATCATTATATCGGCACTGGTTAGTTAAAAAGGGGGCTGGTACAGCTTGATTCCACGTTGAACGGCCAACTTTCTTTTTGCGTGACAAAAGAGGCGCGTGATCTACGTTTACACCCTGCCAGCCGTGGTGGCGTGGAGCGCATTTCATGACGTCATCGCATACCCAACACGCAGCAGCTCTCTGCTGACCCGTCGTTTAGTGCTTATTTGATATTTTTGACGATGGCATAGGCAAAATGAACCACCCTATAGCTGTTATGGCACTGTTGATACTGCTAGAAAACGCGATTATCTCAATGTGGTCGAAAATGCGCCGGAGTTCCCCGTTAAGCTATCGGAAACTTGTGCTCCATCGTACACAACTTTTCAGGTGGGCACACTGACCTCCCCTAGTTTAGATCGGTGGCATCACACGAATTGAGTAAGTTCTACTACTGTGTACAGAAGACGCAAGTGTCAAGCAAAAATGATCACGGGCAAAAAAAGCGAGAAGGAAAGACAATGAAATATAGAGAGAAATAAATGAATGGATAGGGAGAAAGAAAGTAATAAAATGAGGAATGCAAAATTAGAAAGATCATTTGAACAAGGACATAAGAACATGTAATAGAAAAGTACAGATATGAAGAAAGAAAAGGATAAAAAGATAAATAAGGGAAGTATAGATCCATGACAAGGTAAAACGACAGAAAAACAAAGAGTGAAAGAATGAAGGAAAGAAATAGAAAGTAACAAAGTAAAAAAAGGGAATACGCAAACAAAGAGAAAGAGGAAGAGAAGCAGAAGGAGTGATAGGCTTAGGCAGAGAGGGAAGCAAACACGAGAAACAGATTATAAAAAGAAAGCTAGACAGAAAGCACGAAGGAGATCAGTAAAAACAAAGATAGGGAGAAAAAAAAATGAAGACAGAAAGAGCGAGCAATAAATGCAGAAAGATAGAAATATAAAGAAAGGAATAGATGCAAAAAACGGGGATACAGCGAAAGAAAGAGAAGAAAGGAATAAAACATATAAAGATAAGCATGTAATCCAGTTGTGCTCTGCCTTCCAGCTTGGCATCACAAGTGCCAAGCTGCTATAATATTTTTTTCTGCGCCACCTACGGAGCGTGAAGTTACCCAACCTTTGTTCAACGTGTACCAGTTAGCCCAAAGTGTTTACTGATCTGTGTTTGTGCAATGTTGTATACACTGTTGTATGCCTGGTGTTCTGTAGCGCTCCTGTTTGTAGCGCGTGTCACCCGCTTCGAACTCTAAATACCATGACGACATACATGTTACGCTGCATTTTTATTCTCTCGGTCTTTTTTTAATGTTTACTTCATCTGTGTGTTTATACATTAGACGTATGTTAATATTAGCAGGATTGAAGACACTTCTACGAAGTGTTTCTCAAAGGGTTTGTCTCACTGTATGTTCAGTGATGCTTCAGCGCTCCTTTTAAAGGGGCCCTGCAACACTTTTTGAGCATGGTCAGAAAAGGCTGCCGATCGGTAGTAGAGACTCCCGACAACACGCGAGCGAAATATTATAGCGCAGCACGCGGCCTGTAATTCGCAATAAATTGTCAGTCAGCTAAAAATTGCTTTCTGTTCTCTCGAAAAATCACGCAATATGCCCAAAAATCACACGTAAAAAGCCCATCTATCAGTCATTGGCTGATTTGAACATGGCGCGCTCGCTCGTTACAGAGATCGCCGCAGGAGGCTGCTACTTGTCCATGCGTGCGCGCGCGATCACCCTGAAAAAGCCGCGCATTGGAAGAAAGCAAAAGTGCCCAAGGTCACGAGGCGTGCGTGACGGTTTTCTTGGCCCTGTCATCCCTCCCAGCTTAGCTTCCAGTGCTTTCGTCGGGACGAGATAATGCAATTGAAACATGCGACAAACCTTTGTAACTGCACTCGCGCTGGACGGATTCTTAAAATTTTTGCGGCGTTGAATTCACGAGGAAATAAGCTCTTCCAGTGAATTCATTCCATGGTTACTTGAAAAAGTGTTTCAGGGCCCCTTTAAGGACGCTGCGTTGTTGTGGTTAACACCAGTAACCAATTCATAAAATCACGAGGGTGGCTTTACGCGTCAGCAAAAACTGCCATGGAGTAGGCACTATAAGCTGTCAGTGACGAAAAAAAAACAGTATGCGCCATCTCATTCTACAAGGAACCATTTGTAGATGCGAATCAGCGGATGCTAACACACTGAGAACGGCGTTGCGCCGGCGAGAAACCTGGAGCTGCGCAAAGCACGCAGTGATGGATGGGTGTATCCTACTGCGACATTCCGATCGCTGCTAGTGGACAATGAGAGACAGAAGACTCCAACTGGACACAGAGACCCGCCGTCCACTTTCAGCTAATGCGCACACTGCAAATTTTTATTGTTCAACAACGAACAGGAGAAATCTCCCACCGGCACTAGCTTGGATGTAAAGGTGTAGTGCCTATATACAAGTGCGATTCGAGACCTGCAAGTACGAAGACCAGGCAAATCTATGTACTACAGTACATAGATTTGATGGGTATACCCATCATTTCACTATACCTATGGTGGCTTAACGATGGCAGTGCCATAGTTCCCTCTATAGTTAATTCTAGGAAACTCTATGGGGGCAACGAGCGTTGGCTATAGCACACGCTGCCTGCGTTGCGAGGCGAGAGCGGAGCGTAAGAGAGGAGAGAGATCGACAATATTCGCAAATATGAACGCAGCCAGTAGTTCAAGGCGGTTGGGCGTTCAGCGAGTGCTTAAACTTCGGCCGTGTGTCTGAATTATGCGACAGGGACGAACGGACACAGACCGGCCGAAATTTCTACGCTCAAGTATCCCAAGAAAGACTATCGCCTAAAGAAGCTGCAACTGCTGCGTCCGAGTTCCAGCGATCACGAGACAAACGGGCACGTCCTTTCGTAATGCTGCATGCACGCATGGGAGTGACTCGTTTGAGGATACAACCCCCCACCCCTTTCTTCTAATCTGCATTGCGAAGAGGAAAGTGAAAGACCACACTACAACGCCGTCAAGGTTCCGAAATAAACAAGCGTCAACATTTATTTTTCCCCCTTTGGGCGTCGTTTGCCACGCCGCGATCGTATCTGTCTCTTTTTCGCCGAGAATCTGTGAGACCTTGAATATCGTAGGCAGTGCACGAAGACTGGAAACTGCGGCGTCCGCTCGCGGTGAGCCCTTATCACTTGCAGAGAATGAATAGAAATCGCAGTGGGCGTTCCGTTGTACTTCTCGTGTAACGTGCCTTTACTACAAGATAATTTAGAGAAGTAAAAGGGGAGGAAGATGTTGTTTCTCTTAATCACTTCTAGTTCTCGAGAGGGATCAAAAAGTTTTTTTTTTAGCCGCACCAGCTGGTATACATGCGAAATCTACGTTTTATGGGTTGAAGATTGCACATCTGCACTCGGGAAACAGTCAAACCAGCTTAGCGTCACATTTATTTTTGATTACACCAAAAAGTACGATCACGCGTTATCACCTGGCATCACTAACCACGTACTTGACCTCCCAGAAGTTCGCCTCGAAACAAATTACGTCACGTTAAGGAATCCCAGGTCAACGATGTAGAAAGTGGGAGCGTTCGTCGGGGGCTCGAACCTATACCCGAAAATTTTAAAATATTGCATGCATACATACGTACATGTTTGTGTGTGTTTGTATACACGCACAAATATAAACACACACATGAACATATCTAAAGAACGGCTGACAGCCCCCCCCCCCCCCCCCCCGATTAAAAAAAAATTCTGGTTAGGCTACTGCCGCATTTGGTGGAAATTTTCCGAACGCTCCCTTTCGGAGTGTTTCATAATCACGTTTTAGTTTCTTGGTCCTGGGACGCCGAAACAGCGTTTCTGCTTCTTGTTTATTATTATTATTATTATTATTATTATTATTATTATTATTATTATTATTAACAAATTACGCTATTGCTATCATGTTTACTGGTAACGACATTTCGTGGGAACTTTTATGTCCCCTTCGTGCGTGGATTGTGAATGATTGATTGATTGATATGTGGGGTTTAACGTCCCGAAACCACCTTATCATTATGAGAGACGCCGTAGTGGAGGGCTCCGGAAATTTCGACCACCTGGGGTTCTTTAACGTGCACCCAAATCTGAGCACACGGGCCTACAACATTTCCGCCTCCATCGGAAATGCTCCATCGGAAATGACTTATCGAACATAGTAGCGCATTTAGCTCTGTGACCTCAGCAGCAACACACATAAAATATCATGTCAGAAGAAGATGCATAGATAATGCAGGAGGTGCAACTTATCCGTACACAAAGAAACAAGAAGAAAAAAAATAAATTGGGAACACAGATTTGGACCCTGGAAGGAGGTTATTTTATTTAAACACTGAAGTTTTAAACTTTCTAAGACAAGGCGTGCATTTCGCCAGTTTTGTTGGTCCAAACGTGACATTTAGTCTGTGTGGCGTATTATCTCGCAGGAATGTTCTTACCGCACGAAATGGTGAGGGCGTCATGAAGCACCATATCTTGTTGAACGTTATGCATTTGGATATTTACTTGCGCCGCAAAATTAAACAAACTCAAGGCTGAGGAAAAATGATCGCGTATTGTCATTCATCCTGGTTCAACACCTTTCATTACTTTTTTTTTGTTCTGTAGGTAGGTGGGAAATCTGTTATGAAATTTAAGCGTAGAATAGTTATCTGTCTTCTGTTCCGTTCTGCTACAACAAGCTTGTTCTGGAAATATTCACATATATTCAGCGCGTTGGCTATATAATCCGTTTCTCTGCGTTCTGCAACAATCACAGTCAGAGACTTGTAATCCTAAAATAAAAATAAACAAGTAAAAGAAAAAGGCAAGAAAATAGCAAACTGAAGCAAATGCCAAAAATGACGCGTTACTGGACAGCTCGCTGGCAAGAGTTCAGTGTAAAATGGAACGTTTCAACGCGCAAATTTCTGTCTATGTTGTGTACACACAAACACACACAAACACACACACACACACACACACACACACACACACACACACACACACACACACACACACACACACACACACACACACACACACACACACACACACAAAAATAACTCCACATGGCTGTTCATTTTGAACGCATGCCCAGTTCAGTAAGCAGAAAAATTCTTTAAATATGGGAAAGAAGACCATCACCCGTTTGTGGCAGGAAGCCACAAGGAAGTAAGTACGGATTAGTCCAAAACAAAAGCTTCCTAGTTGCCGAAAAATTTGTTCTCTTCCGGGGATCTAACCCGTTACCAACGTCTTTTTGGGGCTGTCGCTCTACCAGCTGAGCTAACGTGGAAGCTAGCACCTTGGTCCCGGGTTCGATTCCCGGACCAAGACAAATTTTTCGGCAACTAAGGAGCTTTTTTTTTTTGTCTGAGAAATCCATACGGATTTCCTTGTGGCTTCGTGCCAGAAATAGGTGGTTGTCTAATCTTCCTTTTTTAACCCTTCCACCACCTTGCGAGTAACTCATTTGCATGCAGGAAACTGCGCAAGTAAATTTTGTATTGTGAAAGGGCGCACGTTTAAAATTGCGCCCCCTCACAGTACAAGTTTTTTTTCTTTTTTTCCATTCATGTAATTTGCACATTTCAGACGAATGTAACTAACATAGCCAACTTTATAGCACACAGCACCACTGGTAAGTTAGAAAAGTGTACTGTGCAGAAAACCATTTGTGTACACTACTTCCAGAGTTCACTTAACGCTCGCTCTGAGGCTACGTCTCTATGCGTGGTGGGAGAGCTTACGTCAGTTTTTTGTGTTATGTCGAGATTCTTCGCAAGCCACTCACAGATATCTGAAGAAGCATCGCTGGTATAGCTTCATGAACACATTCAGACTAGCGCAGCAAGCCACTAATTTTACGAAGTTAGTAAAGTTAACAATATTTTTTTTACTAACTGTGCTAACTTTTTAAGTTTTCTGAGTGGACTCATTCGCCTGACCTATTGCGCGTAATTATGTCGAGTGAAGCTGAAGATGACGTTTTGATATACCAGCGGGACCAATGAAGGACATACAGGCAAAATGGCGTGGTACTTTAAGCGTTAGCTGTACATAGCAACGTAACGGTGCACACGAATGCCCGCGCGGAAAAAGTACGCTCGCAATCGTTGCGTTTGTGATAAAGTAGACCTAGTCTCTTACTAAAATGTCATGTTTCTGATTTATTTGTGGGGTTTAACGTCCCGAAACCCCTATATGATTATGAGAGACGCCGTAGTGGAGGGCTCCGGAAATTTCGACCACCTGGGGTTCTTTAACGTGCACACAAATCTGAGCACACGGGCCTACAACATTTCCGCCTCCATCGGAAATGCAGCCGCCGCAGCCGGGATTCGATCCCGCAACCTGCGGGTCAGCAGCCGAGTACCTTAGCCACTAGACCACCGCGGCGGGGCGTCATGTTTCTAAGTAAATGCCTAAGTTTATCATGCGTGACTTTGTTTTCATGAGGTTTCCGCATTCATTATTTCCACGGAGCATAAAACAATTTTGCGTCAATTTAAATGATCTGTAAGTTCTGCAGCAGCGTGAGAATAAACAAGAGAGCCGTTTGCAGATTACGTTAACAAGCAATGTATAGAAGTTCAACAAAAGTGTTGCGGGCGTGCAGATACCATGCATTGTAGAATAAGACGACTCGTGAACTGACTTACCCGTGGATCACATCTTCACGGTGCTCCCAAGCCAGCGAAACAGGTTGCACGAGAAGCAACTACGCGGCGGATATCCAGCATGACGACGGAACACGTTGTTTATAGCATCGGCATGCGTAGAGTGCACGAGAAGAACACTTCTGGCCGTCCTGGTCTATGAAAAGTGTTCACGTTTAAAAACAAAAAGAAAAGTGCGAAGGTCAAGAATCCAAAGTATAGATGAAGACCTATCTCCGTTCTGTATAGTCGACGTGCTCGCCCCTTTGTCGTTTCGAGATATGTCAGAATGAGATCATACGTGGCATCACTTTCGGCGATGCAAGGTTTGTGAAACACCACAGGAGAACGCCGGGAACAAAGGACACACACTGTCGAGCTACTAGCGATGAAGACAATTTTCGAGCCAGTCGCTTTTGTCCCATTTCGCGGCACGTTCTAACATGCGACAGAGTTGCGAGCACTGAGACAGCATTGCTGGCGAGTGTGCGTTCACGTTAGCGTCACATGATCGAAGAATTGGGGTTTGAAGTGCGGGCTTCTAGAATGTGCTGTAACTCTACAACGTTTTCTTTGAAGCACTGCCTTCTTGAATGCACTGCAAGACTCCACTGCTTTCTCTGGTGAAACCTGTGCGCAATCGGCACAGAGTGGGTGGTGCAAATGCTCGTCTCCCGAGATTGCGCAGATAATAGGGTGCGTTTCGTTAAGCCAACGTTGTCTTCGTCACTCGATCACGAGACTCGTTGGCCTTAACTTTCACTGACTGATTTGAGGAGGCGACTACTTGCTCAAATTCCGTGCTTCCATTTCTATTCTCCTATGAGAAAGTCGAGTATCCTGCCACGACTGCGCGAAATATGTGTCGACCTCTCAACGGCCCCGGTGGCACACCTGCGTGATTTCGGCGTTGAAAGCACCGGCATGTCAAATGAAATGGCCTGATCTTTCAACGCTCGCTGCACATACATTTGCAATACGAACGCTAGAAGCACGAGTGAGCCAATTAAACAATTAAAACGCTATCAATCGGATGGTGCCCCAAATTTACGGCTCTGTGACAACTCGACAGTTACAGAAACAGACTTGCACCGGGAGTACTTAGCACTGAACGAATATCAAGAGAAATAAGAAAGAACGATTTTGAGAGAGAATAAAAGAGAGAGTGTGTGCCTATCGAGGCCCATGAATTCTAAGCGACGATAAACTGAATTGTTTTTTTTTTTGACAGGCGCGATCGCGCACCTTTCTGCACCCTCCTCGAGCATGCGTACAGTACGAGTTAGTCTGGTTGGATAGAGAGAGATCCGCAACCCTCGACTAGCTCCCCTCGAAGAAAAGGAACAAAAATAGTAGCCTCGCGAGAAAATGAGCAAGGACGCGTCAACTTGAAGGCCTCGCTTCCAGAGCCAGTTAGAGATCAAGGTGACGCAGTCTCACTTGGGGAGGAAAGAAAAAAAGGAAAGCTTGTGATGTAAGCGCACTATTGCTCAATTATGCATTGGCTGTTTATCGTCAAGTAAAGAGGTAGAGCGGTGGTTGGAGGGCACCTCACCAGGATCTGCCCATTAGTGGGTGCCTGGTCGTAAATCCGGAATTCGAATTCATTTCAGTCGCTCTACAACAAACCTGGCTGATAAGCGGCACGTGAAGCGAGCTACACTTGCGAAATGTCAACTTAAATGTCGATGTGAGCAATCGAGCTGAAAGAAAGGAACAACTGCTTCTGTGTATGCTAACTACATCAGTATTTGGAAGAAAGCAGGCTTGCTTTGAAGCCTTCCTGATGTGTTAGACAATTACTGAAATTTGACGCAGATTAGAGATTTCCTGATTTCATTGTGCTAATTATTGGTCAGGAAAACTTGGACAGCGAGATGAATGTTTTCACGACATGATAATGCGGAGCATCTCATACAGCGCGAAGAAACACCTCTGTTAAATTACTAATTTCACACGTTCACTCTTTAGCAGTGTGCAGGCACTGAATCAAATTAATCTGCACACGTTTAGTGACTGAACGATCAAGTTTATCAAAGCTGCGCTGCAGGACCACCTCCCACTACTTGAGAGCATGTATTTTTTTCCCGCTGGGAATACACTTACCACGAGTGTTTATACGACGCAAATTGGTTAATGTAAAGTAAATACGCCATTTAGGACATCTGCCATAATCAGCTCACAAACAACGGGGCCTTTGGATAAATTATATGGGTCGGGAAAATTTTCGTAAGGGCAATCGTATTTTTTGTTGACTAAATAGCTGAGCTCAGTGTACTGCTAAACTTATAGCGTGCGGCATACAGTTGTAGATTTGACAATCGCTCTCTGATGTTAATTCTATAGATGTACATATGATCCTATCACTTCGGACCTAAGTACCCCAAATGAATTCAAGTGCCGGCATAATAGCAGGACGCAATCGAAGGCTGAGTGAAATAGTGATAAAGTGAATACATTGATCCCATAAATTTAACGTATTTATATTTGTATGAATGATAATTTTGGGGGGTACTGGGAACCTACGTGTAAAGGAACTCGGTACCTCTTTGCCGTGCACGTCCTAATGACAAACTTAGGACCATGAAGTGTTGTTTTTTTCAGCGGAGCCCGCTCATTTTACCTAGCCCGCCGTAACCTTCACACATTCACTTCGTTATTCTTCACGAAGTAAACAATGAAAACATCAGGCACGACTGACGAAGAAGCTTGTTCGATTTCGTCAGGCGCGGCAAATACTTATGCATCGTCGTCCCAACATATTGCAGGGAGTGGCTCGTGTGACGTTGAGCTTTCCTCGATTTCGCCGTTCGTGAACCTAATCACAACGAGCTGAGCGAGAAAATATATATATATATATATATACACTGCGTCTAGCGGGACGGTCGTATCGCAGAACCGTCGTTCACTGAACTACAGAGACCACGCAATTTGGTGTGCCAAAGCACTACGGAACGCGAGGAAACCTGTTATATACGGTAGAACTGACGAGAGAGAAACGAGAAAAAATGGAAGGCAGGGAGGTTGACCAGATGCTATATCCTGTATAACTGACGAAAGGTGCGGCGCTGTGCGTGCGACAACGTTGTGTGGTCATGCAACCTCGAAAATAGGTTTCTTAGTAGCTCGCGATGATGCTAAAGCGTTCTCTTCAGCGCCGCTCGGGTTACCCCTCTGGACAGATACTTGGAAGCAACTCGCGCCGTCACAGCTCAGACTCGCTGTTTACATATATTTTCTCAGAACTTGCCGGCATTGTCTTTCTTTAAAAATAACATCGCCTGATCTTTCTTTTATCGTTCTATAATTGTACAACATTAAGATGTCCGCATCTGTTCGCCTCACAGTATCACATAAATTCAGTAGAATTATGAGTGGTACTTATACACAAGTATGCTCTCTTCACATCTTTTCCGATGCTCTTGTCAGAATAAGTATCTTCGCGAATTCAGCTGAACGCCTGCCTGTTCGTGACATGTAGATGAACACGATATATACGAAAGACTGCTTTTGAACTAGCGCGAAAGTTTAGAAGGCGATATTCGCGTAAATTTGTTCAAATCTGTAATTGTGATTGAAAAACAAAGATTTAGACACAATAGAGCGTAGGCATGCTATGCTTAAAACATGAATAAACTGTGTAATGTGCCGCTTCGTTGTGGTCAGCTAAGGCTGATAACGTGCAGTATTTCAAGATAACATTTTCGTAACGGCTGGCAGATTTCAGTATTGTATTGTGATTGATGATGTTGAAGTCAGCAGATATGCTGGTTAAATAATTTAACATGAAGTGATATTTCAAATACCTCACTGTACTGAACGATAATTGACCACCCTAAATATGGTGTCAGGTACAAAAAGTGGAGATGGGCTTCGGGGGAGAAGTGACAGCTAATCAGGTGAAAGAGTTCAAAAATTTAAGCTATATCGTGAAACAATGTGCCAAAAGAGAAAGAAATGACGAAATTCAGCCCTGACACGGGCTCAGATTTATCACAGCTTGATCAATCCCTGAGCAGACTTTCGTTACTCAAGTATCTTCTGCAACCAATGGAAAATCAGGACATCGGAAACTTACTGATGATCTCGCAATTTCTACACTATCCTCCCGTCTTAACCTCCTGTCTCAAACGGGTCGAAACATCGACGAAAGTCACAAGCCGAGCAACACAGGACTGAGATCAGAGGAAATAACGCATTTGCCGGGCGGCTTTGATGTCGTAGGTTATTACGTAGCTCTTGAATCGTGTGAACGCTGAAGCAGCTCTAATTGTGCTGAAGATTAATCTTACGTAGCATAGTGAAAACACAGTCACGGAAGCAGGCAATTCCGGAAGTTGTCATAAGGGTCTTAGGCCCATCTCATTCCGAATTAAAAGTGACTTAGGCTTCACCGTCAATGCTTCCAGACGTGACGAACTGTCAGCTTGGTTCTAACCGCGACAAGATGGCGGACAACGGTTGCGTCGCACCTATGTTGTTAGGAGCAAGGCATCAAGGGAGCAGCTCGCACTAGAGCGCGAGACGACAGATCGAGAAAACGGACAGGAGGATGTTCCGCAAAGAACTGTGGACGGCTCACGAGAAGCTCCGTGGAAAGTATCCTTTGCCGAAGGGGACACACATGTCGTTCACGTCATCCGGCACGGCTGGGACGATACAGTCTGGGTGACCTCGAGAGAGCCTGACCCTGAGCTGCCTGGGGGACCGGTTGGCAATCATGGGCTACCGGTAAACGTCAGAATCACGCCGGAAGCTGTCGCTCACGGGCCACGGTTCCGGCGTCACTTCACGTTGTCCGCGGGCTATTGCCAACCAACCTCAGAAGGGCTCACGATGGCAATCAGGGGAAATAGACACTGAACGATAAGAAACATAGCAGGCCACAGCAGGGCACCTCTGAAGCAGGTGCATGACGGTCGCATCGACGATTCCACTGGTGGTCTCACAACTGCAGAGATCCGGCAATGCGCCTCTGGTTTCGGCGTACGCTGATACTTCTTCGCGAACGTCGCATACGAGGGTATCACACGCACGAAGTCTGTCGACCCTGGAACCAAGCTTTTGCAATCTCGATTTGCGATCCCAGTTGGCGAACTGCATTCAGATGACTCCGCAAGCTTGACCTGATGATGTCCGGCGGCAACAATTCGTCCACGGGCCTTATGCACATATCAATCCGGTGGCATATTAAAATCAAAAGAGTTAACCATCGCACCTATTACTGGTGCAATCCTGGCAATACAGCAACGCAGGTGCCATCAAAGCATAATACACATCACACGCAGGGTCTTGTAATCCATTTCCGGTCCAGGCATTTGCTCTACTTGGGAGTCAACACTCTGATTTTGCCTGGGGTGAAGCATCGGGTAGATCCTTTTGGTACTGTCACAGTGGCTTTTTTTTTTCTTTCAATTTCTTTCGTCATATTCACTATATCGGAGAAATAGTGACGTCATCGGAGTCGCACTTGGAGTAGTCAAAGCCCGTGAGTGTCTTTGTCAAATGTAGCTTGGGACAGTTTCTGGGGTCGCCCCCTAGTTCTGGATCAGTCCAAAGAGGTCACAGTGGCTGTGGTTTCTCGTGATGCGGCTCTGGGATGTAAGTTCGCGAAGTCGGCGGGGCGCTGCGTGTCACAGCTGGTGAAGACATGAGCGATCGGATCTCCGAGGCAGAGCACCGGGAGCAACGTCGGCTGGGCAGCCGCGCTCGCACGCTTCTTTGCGTGCAGTGGCCTTGCGCAACCGACGCAACGGCGCGAAGTCGCCCCGGCGTCGGTTTGGCGACGACGGCCAAGGCTGCTCCTCTCGCTGGGCGCGGGAAAAACCCGTTTACTCGCTTTGCGCATTGGCGGACCGCCGGCACTTCACCGCTAGACGGTCTCCCGTTAAGCATGTTACGATTGTTTCTCGAAATCAGCTGTGATCTAACGTTGAAGGTGCAACAATACGTTGGTCGTACCCCACGACTCAGCCTGGGGCTTAGTATTGAGACCTGAACTAGTACGGATACATTGATTCAAGAGGAGAACGAAACAGGGAAGGAGGATTCTCACAGGGTCTCTTACGCAATGGCCTAATACTGCTCGACGGCAAAAACAATAATCTTTTCTCCACAGTTGATGTATTAATTATCCCCCCCCCCTTCCTTCGCGCGAGAACTTTCCGCAACCTACGTGATTTTACACTTCCCCCGAGATCGGAGGCTTCCTGCACCTACTTGTTGAGCACGGCCTCCGTGATCGGCCTATCTTTGACCTAGAGACGATGTCAAGTGCTCATGTCAAGTTACCGTTAGATGTGATGTGATTTTATAATGACTTCTTCAATTTGGTCTTTGTCGCCATGGGGACGTAACCAAGTTGTAACTTTTTGCATCACGTGTTTCGACGTAACGGTACTCGGCAGGATTTTCTCTTGGAGGGGGCAAACCAGTGTTGCTTCGCGGGTGGGGAGCGGGAGAGCATTGCTGTAGCTTGGGTAAGGGAATGTGTTGGTATGGCTTGAGGGGGGCAAGCGCCCATTTTGCGATTTCAGCACTGCTGTGGTATTGTAACGTCCACGAATGGGTTTATTCCGCTGTGACGTAGCGTTGGAGTCGAATATGTCGCGCGCCGGAGGCCTTTCTCGCTGGCCAAACGTCTGCTCTAATCTCCCTGTTCCCCGCTATTCAGAGGCTACACGAATCCCGTATGCAGTAACATTATATACAATTATGTACTGATTGCATCTCACACTCGCATACTTTTATCATTACCATCGGTCTCACCACGCACACTGCTGGGCAAAAGCCTGCTTTCCCCTGATTCTACTATTATCCTGTACCTATGCTTTCTGCGGCCACTTGACCGGAACTCGCGTACTTGATGGAGGTATGTATGAACTACTATCAATATTGCACGCGATGTTTGTAAGGTACGATAGGAAGCATTTGATGGAACGTAACATCATTAACTTTTAGGGAG